CCGAGCCGGCCCCAGCCATTTGGGTGGGAGAGAAACAATAGCGCGGAAGCGCCGCGGGACTGGGCTGAAGCAGCAGGTAACGCCCGCCTGACCGGGCCCGAGACCCTGTCGCCTCGGGAGCTCTGAGGAAAGGTTTTTCCAGGCTTTTGCCGAGCAGAGTCTCTGGTCATTGGGGGGTCTCTCCCGATTATTTGGGGAAGGGGAGTGTCGCGATTACTGTGGGAGCGGTTTCTCCGGTCTTTGTGGAGCCAGATTTCCCCGGGTCATTTGGGGGGGGTTGGTTCTAAAGGTTCCTGTGGGGAGAAGCTCTAAAAAAGTTTTGGGGGAGCAGAACCTTCCCTGGTCATTGGAGGGCGCCTTCGGATTTGTGTGTGTGTGTGGGGGGTCGGTCTCCCCGGTCATTGAGAGGTCTCCCCCCGCGTCTTTGGGATGAAGCAGGATGTCCGGCGTCTGAGGGGTCTCCCCAGGTCTCAGGCGGCTTATTGAGGGGGGCGGTCTCCTTGGAGGGGTCACCCCAGCGCTTCAGGTAGTGTTACCTGGGGCTGGGAGAGGTGCAGCCATTTTGGGTGTCGAACGCCAGTCGCCCGTCAGCTGGTGTTTGATGGGGGAGTCTGCACACCTAGCAGGATGTCGGGAAAATGTCTTCGAATGGCCCCGAGGATGCCTTCTTCATAGTGATAGTTCCACCCTGAGCGGAGCTTCCATGTCTTTCCCATTGGATTTCAGGCTGCATTCTAATGACTTTGTTCATTTCAGGATTTTATTTGGTCTTATGCGTCCAGAAAGATGCACCAGCAGAAAAATGAGTGAAAATACAATGTATAGAGATTTAATGCTCTTCAATGCCAGGAGAACTAGAACGGGTCACTGCTTGGATTGAAATATTTTGGTAGCCAAAGGGACATAGAACAAGAATAAAGTAAAATTATCCCGAAGAATAGTTTTAAGGAAAAGTACTGAAACTTTTAAGAGAGGTGAGAAAAGTGTTGCAGATCACCAGTTCCATGATATATATACATATATATGTATATATATTTTAAATAAGGGACCATTATTACAGTAATTTTGTAGAATTCTAGTATTTAAAATGTTTGCTGTATTTGCATTTTCAGCCAGGTAACATTTTAAGTGGACTAAGATGCTTATTTACCTAGGCTGTTGCTGTGAGGTTTGTGAAATTACACCCTTGAACTTGGTGTGAAATATTTAAAGAGAAGTTGCAGGTGCTTGCTTTAAGTTTTGCCATGCTGCTTCGATTTAGAAATGACAAAGTGAATATTTTATCATATTTGACGTAATAGGCCAGTTGATCTCTTAGCAACATTTTATTTGGACAGGAAAATGGGTTGAACTATTAATTGTCTCAATTTCCAGACCAGGTTTCCCTGCTTTGTGACTTTAGAGTAGATTCACAAGTATTGTTACAAGTCAGATGGATAAGAATGAGGACAAGGGGCCAGCAGGTGGCGTGGTGGTCAAGGGCACTGGATTCCCATATGGCCAACTGCGGTTTGAGTCCGGGGACCTGGTGGCTTACTTTCTCACTTTCCCTCTCTCTCTCTCTGGTCAAAATAAAATAAATAAAGTTAAATAAAATAATTTTTAAAAAAGGACTAGGACGATAATTGACCAAATAGTAGAAACCAGTTTTGCAGATACAGTAGACTTCCTTTGTGCTTCTAAGGTTGTTGGTGGCAGGTAAGTACACTGTATACCAGCCTGGTATCTGAACAGCGGCCAGGAAGGAGGGCCAGGAAGGAGCAACCTCGGCCAGTCTCCCTTGCTTAGGGATGCCAGAGCCTTCTGTAAGCTCCAGAGATGCCACTAGTATCTAGGCAACAGGGATGAGCCTGAGCCTCCCTGAGGCCAGGTTGTGGAGGTGAAAATTTTCCATTGTTTGGCTCACAAAGAGGACTTACTGGGGAAGAATGTTCCCTTTAACTGAAGTTATTTTACTGAGTGGGGTAACCACCTTAAGAAACAAAGAAAACTAATTTTTGTACATAGAAAAGTAGCAGATTATTATGTGATTACATTCTAAAGCTACTTTTGTTTTTTAAAACAGTTCTTGCCTATTTGTTTATGGTATAAAAATAACAAATAGTTGGGACCAGCAGTTAGCATAATGACTATGTTGCTGGACTCCCATGTAGTCGACCGTGGTTCAAGTCCTGGACCCGGTGGCTTAAGCTCACGCCAGGCGCATGTGCGTGCGTGCCCAAGATCCCAAGAGGGGAATGGAGGAGAAGGGATTGCAGCATGGCCATCCCCCCTGGGGGGTGATTTCCTTCTTTCTGTCTCTGTCTGGCGAGCGCACGTGCCCTGTAGCAAAAATCTCTTTAAAAAATAAATAAATAACAAATAACAAATAGTAGTAGTGGTTTGTAGCATATTGTGATGACCAAGGAAATATCTCTTTTTCCAAAAATTGAACTTAGAGTCCACCTCAGAGTTTGAAAAAAAGATAGTCTGAAATGACTAGTCTGCTTGGGTCTTTCACTGTCACTAGCTTCAGTGGTTACTGACTGCTGGACAGTCATGTTTCATCTACATTCTATGCCCACCTCTTCACTGCTTCCACCTCTAAGTAAAAAGGAAACTGAGTTTTTAAAGAACCATTCCAGTAATGTTATTTTATTCATAAATATTTCAGTGTTTATCCCTTAGAGATGCAGAGCTAGCCACAGAATTTACAATACCATTATTCTACCCCAGAAAACAATGGTAATTCTTTAGCTCTTTTTCCCTTAAGTCATGTTTCAGTGTCTTTAATTATCTTATTAGTAGTTTTTAAAACAGTTGGCTTGTTCAAATTAGGATCCAAATAAGGTCTGCACATTGCATTTGATGAAAATGGTGCCCTTTTTTTGAGGGGGATGCTATTAGGAATGTGCCAGAGGCCAGAGAGAGACATAGAGGTTAGGGGGAGTGAGAGAGCACACTCATGGTGCAATCCCTTCTCCATTTTCCTCTCTGGGTTTTGGGCATGCACACACCTGTGCTAGGTGTGTTTTTCAAGCTGGCAATCCTGGACTTGAACTGTGTAGTTGGCTATGTGGGATCGTCACCTTAACCACCGACTGCCCCCAAAATGGCTCTTTGCTCTCAAATTTGTACGCGCTTGCTCTGTTTTTTTCTTTTTTTTCTTTTTAATTTAACAGTTGAAACTGTGGTGGTTTGTCTTGTGAAGTTTCCCATATGCTTGTTTTTGCTGATCACTTCATGTGCTTGAGACCTTTTGGCTCATGGGGCTAAGTTTGAAAGGATCACTCTTGACTTAAGGGCAAAGAAGTTGAGAAGAAACTAACTACCAAGCCTCATTTAAAAATGAACCCCTGGGGGGAACCAGCAGTTAGCATAATGGCTATATCGCTGGACTCCCACGTGGTCGACTGTGGTTCGCGTCCTGGACCCGGTGATTAAAACTCACACCGGGCGCATGTGCGTGCATGCCCAGGATCCCGAGAGGAGAATGGAGGAGAGGGGATTGCTGCATGACCATCCCCCCTGGGGGGTGATTTCTCACTTTCTGTCTCTATGTCTCTGTCTGTCTGTCTGGCGAGTGCACGCGCCCTATGGCAAAAA